TAGGTTTAGTCAGCCGCTCATGTGATTGTGCAACCTGCCCCTGTCGGTCTTTGCAGCTCTCGTGGACTTGGGCTTGCTGAATAATCGGTGAGATGAACAACGCAACAGAGAGCACTGCCCTTCTCTTGACCACATGGCTAAGAAATGCGTCATGACTGGGCCAAAGAATAGGGTTACATGATCGTCAGCCGGGCATGCACATGCTGCGGCAGTGACAATGCCGCCCGCGCGGCGGAGCCTCGCCGCCAATACTTGCATTGCAACTGTCAGCCGCTTGCCGATATGACCAGTTCAGTCGTGTGTTCTAATTCTGGTCTGATCTCGTTAAAGCACGTACAGTTTATAATGGGGTTTGGATCTGCATCTAGAGGAACATACACGTATGCTGCATTTTAGACAAGGCCGTGACGGGCCCAGAGGCATGCCAACAGTCAGCAAGCCAGCCAGCCTCTTCCCGTAGGTGGTGCGTGCTGCGGGCAAGATGCCTGGGCTGCCAACGTGCCGTACTGTGCAAAGCATGCGGCCACCTGCCTTACCTTCGGCTGTTGGCGCTTTTCAAGCAGCAACGATTAAATTGTGAAGATGCGGCACCCAATTCTTTTCAGATTATGTACATCCCTAATCCGATCCCACCATCCCACGTCCGCAGGTCACATGGGAATGGCGGTTGATTTTATATATAAAGGCCAGAATCAATTCCGTCATTCTTCCTTAGGGCCTTAGGGCTTCTTGATATGAACATAGTATATAATATAATGTAGCTCAAAACTCGATTCTCATTTTTTGAGGCCCCGGTGTCGGGCTGAACGACGGTTTCCCAGGACCAAGGTGACCCGAGCTGCGCGGTCCGGGAGATCCCTCGTGTGGGCAAGATCTTGGTCGCCGCAGCTTGGTGATTGTTGAGTTTAGGGTTTGGGGTTCCGTCTTGTTCAACATAGTTTCAGATGCCNNGGCGGATGCGAAAGCTGGCTCCGCAGTAGAGCTGCTAGGGCTGCTTGCTCCAACTCCGGGCGAAGTGGGAAGCCTGTTGCAAAAAGGGTTCCGTCTAACTACCAGGCAGCAAAAAAAGGGTTCCGTCAACTCCATAATCAAAATTATTGTTACCTTTAAGAGGGGTGGATTTCACTGGAATCCTGCTGGACACCCTGCCTAGTGATTCGCTCAGTGGTGCAGGAGGCAAAAGTTGCCGTAAATATATTTATAAGTGATTTTGAGGATTGTTGAAATCGACACCTGGATTATCGCTTTGGCTTATTTGTTTTTATCCTTGTTTGCGGTGAAGTTTGACGATGCTGTGTGCAGGAGCAGCAGCAGTAGCCACAGCAGCAACCGCCGCAGCAGCAGCAGCCGCAGCAGCAGCAGCAGCAGCAGCAGCCGCAGCAGCAGCAGCAGCAGCGGCAGAATGCCTACCACTCTGCCGACCTAGCTACCGGATACATACGTACCTATCACGTTGACGTGGATGCACGAATGCAGAGGAAGCGAGGATGGCGGAGTGGGAGGGGACCAACAAAGGTGCCACCCGGAAAGGCCCCAGGCAGACGCAAAGGTTTGCCAGCGACCCCTCCTTGCCTGATCCGAGACAGAGAGAGAGAGAGAGAGGCTTCCAGCCGAAGGCGTGAGGGCTACGACAGTAGCCGCCCCGACGCCCAACAGAAAGAAAGAGCCAGGACTGCAGGTGCCCGCGCGCATAGAGTGAGAGGGAGAGAGCAAGCAGGAGAGGTGAGATAAAGACTGCAGCTTAACTGCGCTAACGAAGAAGAAGATCAAGTTGGTTTTGGGTTTATGTACAGTGTGGGTTTTGCGCGCTGGGCCGAATCTGCGTAGTTTAGGTTATAGTTCTCGGAAACATTGCGTTGGAGCAGAGGCATATCCAGGCGTGAAAGATCTTGCAGCCAGGGTTGCTGCGCTCTTTCCTCAGGAAACCCATGCATCTTAAGGATAAAAGATAAGGAAGGAGCGAGAGAGTGCGAGAGTGCGACAGTGCGAGAGAGAGAGAGGGAGAGCGTGAGCCACAGCGAGAGCTAGATGGCAGAATATGTTAAAGGCGAACAAAGTGAGTTGCAAGCGCACCCGAACAGTCGGATGAACTTGGTGTCGCATCGACGGGTGCATGGGACCGGGCTGCTCAGGGGATCTCTGGCCAGATCTGTGTTGCACCGCTTTCGAGATGGGTGCCCAGTATACAGAATTCTAGATCGGCGTCGGTACTCCGTGTACCCCTAAACCCTAAACCCTAAACCCAAAACCCTCTCTGACTGTATGCAGTTGGAGAAAGGTGTCAAAAAAAAACCCCAAAACCCTAAAACATCATATCTTGTGCTATCGATATACTGACGGTGTGAAGTGCTTTGGGACTCTCAGAGCCGGAGGCACGACCGCTGCCGAAGGGCTACCGGCTCGCATGGTGGGGACGATGCTGTAGAAAGGCCGAGGCCATTGGCCCCAAAACGGCGATGCTTCAACCGGGTGGTTTCTAAGTTCCGGGACTCCGAGAGCGGGCATGTCGGGAGGAAGATCACATGGGATCCAAAGGCCCAGAGAGGATGTAGGAAGAGCGCTTCTAAGGGCTTTCTGGCCTTTGGTTCAGAGTCCGAGCATACTTGTTTCCTTGTGCTTCCTTTGCCGTGCCAACGCTGCCAGGCAAAGGACCTTAGCCACTGCTTTGAGCTGTCGCCAGGGCCTCATGAAGTCTTCATCAGGGTTCGTGCTGACGTTGGGCCATGTGTCGAAGCGGTTGATCGGAGGTCAATGTGAAGGTTCAGAGTTCAGAGTGAACAGTCTGTGGAAGCCTAAACACCTGTGGGCTTCGCCTCAGGATTCCCAAGCCCTAGGCGGTAGGCCCCCCTTTAGCCGGAGAGCAGCGCAGCGAAGCAAGGCCGGGCTGGGTCATCGATCCCACCGACTACCCAGGGACCCGGCAGAGTGGGGTTGAATCGATTTTAGGGACGCAGAGCAAGCCAGACGCAGCCCAAAGCCCTAAACAAGGGCCCTTCAGAAGGTAGGAAGCTTGAGGAGCTCAGCAGCCTCCAGCAGGGATTGAGTCTTCCACATAAACCACCGCAACTAACTAGCTGACCCAGTGCATAAGCGGTGGATGCTCGTAGTGCCTGGTAATGCTGCTGCTCTCTTCGGCTAGAATGCTGTGCTTGTTTCCTCGTCGTGCGTTTCCCAGCTTGCTTGAGCCTATAAACTCTTGACAATGGCTCAAGACATTTCGAGCTCTCAGTTAAAGGATAGAACTCCGGCTTTCCCGACTCGTGCTGCGTCATGTATCGAGCGCTGTATTTTGGCTTTGGCCTGTTGGGCGTTGCATCTTTCGAGGTGCATCCCGATCGGGCAGACATGATAGCAGAAATCCAGCGTACACCAGGAGTTACCTGGGTCCCTGGCGTCGTGGAGCGTTTTGCCGCAGAGGCGCCTGGAGCCTCAAAGAGCCTTTGCGGCGTAAAAGGCAACACGACGAAGTCCATCGAGTCGGCAGTCAAGCGAGGAGAGATCCAGCGCTTCTTTGAGACGGATGGAGACATCCCGGAGGAGTTCGACTCGGCAGCGCAGTGGCCAGAGTGTGAGAAGATGATCGGTGACATCCGTGACCAATCTCACTGCGGCTGCTGCTGGGCCTTTGCAGGGGCTGAAGCCGCCTCTGACCGAATGTGTATTGCAACGAAGGGCAAGACGATGATTCCCATCTCGGCCCAGGACGTGTGCTTCAATTCCAACCCAGATGGTTGCGACGGAGGGCAGATTGATACACCATGGCAATACATCAAGGACACCGGTGCTGTCAGTGGTGGCCAGTACAAAGGAACAGGTCCTTTTGGGCTTGGCCTTTGCAGCGACTTCTCGCTGCCCCATTGCCACCACCATGGCCCCAAAGGCAAGGACCCGTACCCTGCCGAGGGCTCAAAAGGCTGCCCACAGGCTGAGTCTCCCTCGGGACCAACGCAGTGTGACACCACAGCCAAAGCGCCTCACAACGATTTCAAACAGGACAAGTATTCCTACAAGGGAAAGACGCAGACAGCATCTGGGGAGCGGGCCATCCAACAGATGATCATGGCCGGTGGACCCGTGGAGACCGCGTTCGATGTGTACTCAGACTTCGAGCTCTACAGCCATGGGATCTACCACCACGTGAGTGGTGGGATGGTAGGCGGACATGCCGTGCGAATGGTCGGCTGGGGCGTCGATGGCGGTGTGAAGTACTGGAAGATTGCAAACTCCTGGAACCCATACTGGGGTGAGAAAGGGTACTTCCGCATGAGGCGTGGAACCAACGAAGGTGGCATCGAGAATGGTGTTGTTGGCTCTTCCAGTGATGCAGAGTGGGGGCGCGGAGCGGGCGCCGCAATCGTCGTTTGAGGCTCGGCGAAGGCGTTCCCGTCCTTTGACGAGAGTGAGTGGGGTCGGTGATTGGCTGCCCCACCGAGAGTTATAGTGATTATAGTGGTGATTCCATGCACGCAGGGCCACAAAGTGGATAAGATGAGAACCATGATTGCCTAATGGGCAGAACAAGCCGTTCATTCATCTTTGACATGGAGTGTCGTGCGAGGAATCACTGCATGTGGCATGTTGGTACTTCAAGGAGTGCCTTCAGTTCTTAGAGCTTCGAGGAAAGATCCACAGCTTGCAGAAGACCAAGCCAACAAAAATCAAGCAGTGCACTTGTAGCCGACTGTGAAGCAAGTACCTGTCTATCCAGTTCGAGCGTGAACACCTAGACGCTAACCTATACGGCAATATGTTACAAATCGCTACATAGAATCCTACTTTGCCATGCTATACTATATACTGCACTATAATTCTCGACAGTATACTATGTCATATACTACAACCTACAATAATACACTATGTACTACACTATAATATAATTCTCTAGAATATAATCTGTGATATACTATAATGATTTACAATAATATGCTAAACGAAGCACTGTGCAAGCTCTCCGAACCCAGAGGAGTCTGCTGCAGTACTGCGCTGCCCCGGGGCCCAGCGAGGTGCCACACCACGAAGATGATTCCTGAACACCTTAGCTGAGGGTTTGGGGTTTCTTAGAGCTATGCACCTCCGTGCTGAAACGGGTTTCGTAGAGCCCAGCTGCAAAAAAGGAGTACTCCTTAGGTCATAGCTCGGATTTCAGATGTCCCCAGAATGATGCAGAGCCTTCCTAAATTGAGGTGCCTTGGACGATCTAGGAAACGGCGGTCGTAGAGTTTCGTGAAGCGCAAGAGCACGTGCACAGTACTTGGGGCGGTAGCGACGGCGTTGGCGATAGAGAACACAAAGGGCAGCAGCAAGACAAAAGTAGTTCTTTGACAAGCGTCCATGAGCCATCTGCCAGTCTGAGCAGTCTGCAGTTCCCCAAGCGCGACTTAGCCGCTCATCGAAAAGGCCAGCACTCTGGCGTGCACCACGAAGATCCACACCGGTGGCGGTGCGGGTTTCTTGGCTAATCCTGGCTTGCGGAAGTGCAGCGCTGCGATTCCCGACAACAATCACTCTACAGGATTTTTCTGGGGCATCTGAGCAGCGGCGACGCGAAATAGTTCCAACATCTTAGGGTTTAGCACCGAAGAAAAAACCGGGCGCGCCGAATCCTGTTCCAAAAGATACAGATTCGCATGGATGGAGACCCAAAGAACAAATCTGTCGAATCGATTTTCAAGTTCCCTGGAGCACAGGATTCGGATGTTGGCTCTTTGAGACACGGCACTGCCCGGGACTTGGATCTCGGGTGTAAGGCTCAAGTACATTTTTGAGTTGATCTTGACAAGATCAACTCAAAGATTCTGTTGGTCTTTGGCTGGAAGTTGGACTAGTGAGTTGGTGCCATGGGATGTATGCCTGCCCATTGATGCTGCCGTGCATGTGGGTCCCTGGATTGGTGAGTGCATTACGATTTGGCCAGCACAGTATACTCAGTGAATAACCCTAAACCCTAAACGATCGCCCGAAAAGGCCACTGCACCTTAAAAAAAAAAACCGAAAACTAATGGGTCGTTCAGTGCGACAGTGGCGTAGAAGTGGAATGAGTTGAGCATTGCCTCGATCTGCGCGGATCTGCTGCGGCGGCTGCACTTTCTTGGTAGTCCCGTGTTTCCTACGCATCTTTACTCAGACCTGTGTTTGTTTGTAAAATGCTTGACTGCAGCTACAAACCTCTTCATGTCGTCTCCCATGGGTTACTGAGACACATATCGCTCTGGTTCAGCTGTTGCTGTGTTATCGTTTGTCTCTCCGATGTGGTGCCTCTGTGGTGATTCGGATTGTGGGGAGCCCTGCCTGCCTTGTGAGAGTTGTGAGAAAACTTTAAACCGCGAGCCGCAAGTCGAGAAGCGCACCAAAGGCACAAGCGATTTTTGCGGCTGATGTCTTGAGAGGCATGCAGTTAGAATAACAATAATAATAATAGTAATAATAATAATAATAATGTGTGGAGAAACCCCCACTAATCAATATTACTTAGGATGACCATAGCGCTGTGTACTTCGACGACGTTCTAAAGCTTTGTCCTCATGTGTGATCAGTTCTCTAGGCTCGGGGTTTGGGCGTTTCCCTGTATCTGGGCATTTTATTATACTATGGTATGTCTTCTCATATCGTACTATACTGTTATATCATGTTGTACTAAACCATGTGATCCGATATGAAGTGACGTGATATATATATATATATATGATGTGACATGAGGTTGAACTATATTAGTTACACTATACCGTATCTGACTATAGATAGTCTTGTGTTGGTCTTGGTCTTGGTTTTGTTCCTTGTCTTTATATGGTATATTGTATATTGTATTGTGTTGTATTTATTAAACCGATGGTGTTGTCTTAAATTGTATTGAATTGCAATATGTTCCGGCGTTTGTGTGGGAGCTCGGGTGGTGTTCGAGTTGGGAATAATTGGTGGGCTCTCTGCGACGCTGCAGGAGTGCCAGTTTTTCGACTCTCCTGTTTCGAGTCCAGGTTCAATGATGCCCCGGTCAAGCCGAATCCGAGGCGTCGCCAAAGGCGAGCAGCTTCTGATGCCGTACAGCAAGCGTTTTTTCGAGGACAGCTTCTTTTTTTTTGGGAAAAAGGGCAATTGCGCGATTTGGGGAGATCGCTCCCTTACTGAACGGATTTCTGGCCCTCAACTGAAAATCGCAAGGCCAGCTCCTTCCAGTGCAGCCACAGGGTAGTTAGAGGCTACATGTTGCAACCCCCCCCCTTGAGCATGTCGAGTCCATGCAACTCCTCTATGTAAAGTGCAACATGGTAGACGACGGGCGTTGTACGATGCCTCGAAGAGCTTCTGTTTCGAGCGTCTTGTGTCACGCGAGGCGCAAGTTTCCCAAGGTGCACTTGGAGAGGGCTTGCACAAATGAAACCACCCCTGCCAAGACCGGCGAGAGCGTAAATCCCGAATGACGGGAACCTTCAGCCAGCCGTAAACCCCAAGATCCCCGCAGGAGAGAGGTCTCCAGCGTGTCAATGCTGCGTGCTCGGAGGGTCCTTGCAGTGCCTCACCCAAGAAGTAGCCCGTGCCTCAACCCGAAACCGAAACCGCAAAGCCTTATACAGCCGTAGTGGAACCGCAACCCGAAAGCCATGGTTGGGTTCACGCATATACAGGAGTTCTCGCTTGGGCTTTTCTCACTGTAGACAGCCATGGCCATGATCAGAAGCTTAGATTTCAACCGTGAGCATGCGCCTCTTCTGTCAGTTCTCGGTGGGGAACCTGGTGCCGCATGCTTCCACGAAAGCTAGCTTTCATTGTGGCAACGGTTTTTGCTGGAGCCAGCTTGCTAGTCTCACGGACAGGTCAGCACAGGACAGGGGAGATGGATAACAGCATCATCGTATTGAGTGTCAGCCCACTTGCTATGATGGAAGCTCAGTATCATGGGTAGCCTTTGCACCTCTCCATGATGCACCCCCACAAAGTAATAAGCATGTCATGGGCATCAGAAAGCAGTATTGCGGTCGCCAAAACTCAAAACCACGCTTGACAATACAAGGACTTACAAACACTTATAGGGCCTTATAGGGACTTATCAGGCCTTACCAAGACTTATTAGTGCTTAATAGAGCTTAATAAGCTTTAATGAGGCTTAATCGTTTGGGGGGGCGCATGCCTGCCACAGCTCAGGCTTCAAGTTTGAAAGGCGTATTGCCCAAGGTTGTGGACGCTGCTTATTAGGCCTTAATAAGCCTTATTAAGGCTTATTAGAGCATACTAAGCCGAATTAGCTGTACCCATCTGCGGGGGCCCATTCTGGGGAGGCGCATAGTGGGCCCATGACAGTACTCGCCGAAGCTGAAGAAAGCAGTTGCCAAAGGTGAGGCAAAGAGAGCTATTTAGCGCTGGCAGTTACAAGATCTATGGTGTGAATTGTGACCAAGCTGCTACCACCACTCTAACTCCGACTGCTATCACTGTCACAACCACCAAAAAGCCCGATCTGGTGGTTGAAAAGCGTGAGAATTGAGTGATACTCGATATCGTGTAGCTCTGCTGAGACTTCCGCCCGAACCTCGTCTGGCTCGCCCTTACCACAGCGGTTTGGGTTTAAGAAGTCGTATTCTATAGTGTCTAGTGTCCGCACAGGAACAGGAACAGGAACAGTACTATACAGTATTATGAAGTATTTGTATTCTTCCCTAAAGGTTCTTGACTATTGTAGCATAATATTTTTCCCAGAGCCAGGGTTCATGTGGCAAGGTGGGGACAGCAGATTACCCTGCACGGCCGCGGCGGGGTCAAGAGACAAAGGCCATGACCTGCGGGCAAATGTCTTTTTCAGGGCCTTTTGTCAGGATCGCACTTAACATCGTACTTACTTTGCTATACCATATACAGTTTACTGGGTTATACTATAGTATGCTATGCTTACCCTGGTCAAAACCCCGGACTTCCCCAATGTCTATCTGCCGTGTCTCGCAGGTTCCGAGACGAGCCGCTAGCCACCAGATAAGCAGATGCTGTAAATGAAAGCTTCTTTTCGAAGCAGATATGTGCACCAACATTAGGAACATGAGCTTGCCGGTGTGTGTTTCTACAGACATGGCAATCTTTCTTACATTGCAGCGGGGCATAAGCACAAACATGGACATTACCTTTTCTCGCTCTGTATGTGCCCGTGGTTGCCTGTGTGAAAAATAGAAAGTGTATTTTAGTACGTGTCCTAACTCCCCTGAAAGGGACCCTAGTTGGGTTATGATACTTATAGCTCTACAAAGTGGCCACTTGCTAAGCCCCCCGACCCTCCAAGTTCAGTGTAGGTCTCCCGAAATATCTCGCCCCTGCCGCGGCCAACAAAGCCGCGACCTTCTCGCCAGGTTAGAACGGCACTCCTCGATGATCGAGGAACGTCCGTT